TTGCCTGAACCCAGGAGGCGGAGGTTGCGGTGAGCCGAGATCGCGCCATTGCACTCCAGCCTGGGTAACAAGAGCGAAACTCCGTCTCGGAAAAAAAAAAATAAATAAAAAAATAAGAAAATAAAAAATAAAATAAAATTGGCCATTAAGTCATTTTTTAAAAGGTTATTTAATGACTGAGAAATTATTAACTGGAAAAAGGCAACAAAAATTGCATTTGCATACATCCCAATATGTTTGTGTGCATATGCACAGAGAAGTAAATCAACAAATGCAGAGTGGTTTTTGCCTCTATTTGGAATGAAACTACACATTTTTCATTTGTATTAAGTATTTTCCTAAGGTTTGCTTATAGATATATATTTCAAAATCATAAAAAACTTTTTAGCCAGGCCTGGTGGCAGGCACCTGTAATCCAAGCTACTTGGAAGGCTTAAAACAGGAAATTCACTTGAACCTGGGAGTGGGTGGAGGTTGCAGTGAGCCACAGTTGTGCCACGGCACTCCAGCCTGGGCGACAGAGAGAGACTCCGCCTCAAAAAAAAATAAAAGCGATATATTTTAAGAAAAGTATTCAAATACAAGGCATTTTTACTCTCTCACGAGTTGTTCTGTTTTGAGACAACGTCTTGCTCTGTCACCCAGGCTGGAGTACAGTAGTTCGATCTCCACCTCCCAGGTTCAAGTGATTCTCCTGCCTCAGCCTCCCAAGTAGCCAAGACAAAGGGCATCTGCCACCATGCCCAGCTATTTATTTATTTATTTATTTATTTATTTATTTATTTATTTATTTTTAGTAGAGATGAGGTTTTACCATGTTGGCCAGGCTGGTTGTGAATCCCTGGCATTACGTGATCCGCCTGCCTTGGCCTCCCAAAGTGCTGGGATTACGGGAGTTAGCCACCTCACCTGGCCTTTTTTTAAAAATACCTGTTTATTTATTTATTTTTAAAGAGATAGGATCTTGAACATCTGGCTCACATGAGTATTTTTAAGGATACGCCAAAATCTGTCCAGTTCAAGATTATAGAATGACAGGGCTTTTAATATTACACAGTTTTATATGTATAATTAAACATCTTAGCATCTATGTGTAACATTATTAACAGATCAAGATTCAGGACTCTTCTCCTACCTGCAGCAAAGGATGGCTGATAAGTAGCAGATGACGTTGGACTCGAACATTCATTTGTTGCATCGGTGACTAAGGGTGATGCAAAACTCACTAAATTATTATAGATACTGAAATACAAAATAAAATGGCTTATTTATGAAATGTTTTACCTGATAACTACTTATAAAAATGCAAAAAAAAAAAACTGAAAAATTAAATTAAAAGACAAATCTATACAAGTAGTTTTGTGTTTATATTTTATAAATTTTGACCAAAAGGCATTCTTACCTCTGACTTTGTGTTTTCAGTTCTTTCAAGGTGGGAGTGATTTCCTGGAGCATTTCAACATGTTCTTGACTTCGAACCTGACCCATAGCCTGGACTAATGTAAACAGAACTGTTTGAATGTTGTCTTGCCATGATTTATATTCACCCAAAAACTGCCTAACACTGTTCTCATAGGGAACATCTTCACCATCTGACAGAGCAGCTTCTTCATCCTAGAATTGATACATTAATGATTAAGAAAAACAGTGTATCAGTAACTACTCTCAAGACAGTCACCTGGTAATTAAGAAGTAACAAGTGTTTCAAATATGAGTGTGTTTAAACAGCTTATTATAGTTCACTCTTGTTGCCCAGGATGGAGTACAATAGCGGAATCTCGGCCCACCGCAACCTCCACCTACTGGGTTCCAGCAATTCTCCTGCCTCAGCCTCCCAAGCTGGGATTACAGGCAGGTGCCACCAGGCCCGGCTAATCTTGTATTTTTCAGTAGAGACTGGGTTTCTCCATGTTGGTCGGGCTGGTCTCAAACTCCTGACCTCAGATGATCCGTCCCCTTCAGCCTCCCAAAGTGCTGGGATTACAGGCGAGAGCCACAGTGCCCAACCAGTTCAACTCCATTTTTATAGGAACTTTGTTTCCACCATCAAATAAAAATTCAAAGTAAATTCTAAAATTAAATTATTTACTGCTTGTAATGATGAAGTAGTAGGCTTTTCCGGAGGCTTAGTTTTCTTACTAACTAGACTGTGTTCAACACTGAAGGAAAGAGACATTTCATTCATTTTGGAGGCAAACTTCATGGTCTGCTAATATAGCTAAGAAGGAGAAAGGCTGGATATCTGAATGCTCACACTAGGTTCATATCTTGGTTTTGTTGTAAGTTATATCACAATAAAGGAATCTAAGCCTCAGTTTTTCTGTGTATGAAATTCAAACTACTACTACTGGCTTTAAAAAATAGTTTATGAAAACACAAGTTAACTCAGTTACAAACAAATTGAAAGATGTGATGAGATAAATTGTTATTTACAAAATGTCACTCTTTTTCTTATAAATAAAACTACTTGTAAATTTTATAACAGAGAGTGAATGTGTGTTCACGGCATTAGTCTTACCTTAGCCATAGCCTTCAAGAGATGTTTGACATCTCCAAGCTGTCGGTTATGACCAGTGAGCACAATCTTTATATTATCAACCAGATTCTGAATTGTTTCACAGACCGTTTCTATCTGCTGCTCTTTCTCTGTCTGAATTGCCCTCTGAGTAGACATATCCTGGGTCAATTGCTTGTGTGCTGACAAAAGCCATTCAGAGCTGCCAATAGGATGTTCAAGACCAGTGTCCTAAATAGAACGAACATTTGTTTGACTTCAAGTATCAGCTGAAATAATGAGTCCTTTCTTCATAATCATCATTAAAAGATATTAGTAACTCAAGCTGACAAAAAGAGAACCCTCTGTTGCTAAGTCATGAATTAATTACCTACAAGTTACTTAACAGTAATCTCAATAATCTATGAAAAACAGATGAAGATTTTTACTTTTCTGCATAATCATTCAGGGTATAAATGCTTAAAAGTTTAAGACCTGAGAAACACATTCGGAATCACAAACATGACTGGCAATTCAGGTCCCTAAATTCTAAGTAAATCTTAGAGAAGAAATGTGAACTTTCTAACATGCAGCTTTAAGCTTTCTAACAAAATATAAACCTCAAATTAACCAGCTTGCTATTTTAGGCCATCACTAACCTTTCCAATATTCATCTTCCATAAGCCCTCCTTCTCCTACTCTATTTTTGATGTATTTGAATCATTTGCTATAAATCATCTTTCTCCTCCCTTTTAAATTTTTGTGATATTCTGGTTGTAGCTCTGAGGATCCTTTACACGTTCTCATTTTTTATATTTTTAAACATATAATAGGTTCTGGGGGTAGGGGGCTAAGAGGATAATTTAATCATCACTGTTCTTGCCCCCCCCCGCCTCCATAACATACATTATATATGAGCATACATTATATGCTCAATAAATGTAAACAAAATGAATATATTAAATTGGTTTTGATAGTATCACATTAGCCTTAATCAAGTTTATGTCCACCAAGACTCACCACTCTCTGTAATAAACGAAGCTCTAACTCAGACACTGAACTGTTAAACTGTGATGCAAATGAACACATCTGCTGACATCTCTTGATTAGTTCAAATAATGCCGCATCCAGGTTTAAGGCTTCTCCAGTTCTTGTTCGTAAACTTTCAAAATGAATGATATTGCTGCAGAGAAAAGTGACCTGTGAAGACAGAAATGGAACCACAAGGGGAGATGGGGGGAAGATGGGGAAGGGAGGTGGCAATTAATAACAGGAAAATATACTACACTTCCTCATTTTGAAAATTCAGGATCAGAACTGGTCCTGAAAATGTATGACTCTTTTGGGAAATAGGCCAAAACCTTATACAGACTACAAATAAATGTACATTTATATTGATGCCATTAGGTCTGAGATGGCCAAAAGCACTGAAGAACAATTAAGTCAATGTATCTTTTTATTTTTTTATTTTTTTGAGACAGAGTCTCACTCTGTCTCCCAGGCCACAGTGCAGCGGCATTATCTCGGCTCACTGCAATCCCCGTTTCCCAGGTTCAAGCAATTATCTGCCTCAGTTTCCCAAGTAGCTGGGATTACAGGCACCCACCACCACACCTGGCTAATTTTTCTATTTTTAGTAGAGATGGAGTTTCATCATGTTGGCCAGGATGTTCTTGAACTCCTTACCTCATGATCCACCCCACTCGGCCTCCCAAAGTGCTGGGATTACTGGCATGAGCCACCACGCCCGGCCTCAGGTAAACATTATCTTCTACATGATTGTTTTTACATAGAAAATTTACTCCACAACAAAGCTGTTAACATATTCAGCTACAATTTGTTACATCCAAAATTCAGAAGACAATTCTGTCAGAATGTTCCCCTTCTGCTTTTATTCTTGCCTAACTTATCTGGCAATATTAAGATCATTTTAAAGGTATGATTAATTATTGTGGTGGTTAGTTTGGTTTTCTTTTCCTTTGAGACAGGGTCTCCTCTAGTGCCCAGGCTGGAGTTCAATGGCTTAATTATGGCTCACTATACCCTTAAAACTCCTGGGCTCAAGCAATCCTCTCGCCTTAGTCTCTCAGGTAGCTGGGACTACAGGTACGTGCTGCCATGCCTAGCTAAAAAATAAAACATTTTTTTGGCCAGGCACAGTGGTTCATGCCTATAATCTCAGCAATTTGGGAGGTTGAGGTGGGTGGATCATCTGAGGTCAGGAGTTCAATACCAACCTGGCCAACATGGTGAAACCCCATCTCTACTAAATATACAAAAAATATTAGCTGCCTGTGGTGGCAGGCACATGTAATCCCAGCTACTTAGGAGGCTGAGGCAAGAGACTCACTTGAACTCAGGAGGTGGAAGTTTCAGTGAGTCAAGATCACGCCATTGCACTCCAGCCTGGGAAACAGGAGTGAAACTCTGTCTCAAAAAAAAACAAAATTGGTCGAGATAGGGTCCTGCTATGTTGCCCAGACTAATCTCAAACGTCTAGCTTCAAGCCATTCTCCTGCTTCAGCCTTCTGAGTAGCTAGAGCTAAAGGGACATACCACCATGTCCAGCTATGATACATTTTTAAATAGTTCTTAATAGGTATATGCTGAAATATTTATAGATAAAATTATGTACTATTTGGGATTTCTATTAAATGTGCACAGAAAGGAGGATTAGGGAGTATGGGTGAAATAAGACAGACTTAAGTTGATCATTATTAACTTAATAATGTATGATGTATGGGTGGGTATAATGTATTAGTACAATTTTGTACTTAGTTGAAAATGTCCATAATTTTTTTGGTTCTCCTCCCACTGCCCAGTCCACAGCCTCTTGACAGAGTACAAGGTCTTAAGACGTTTTATTGTCATGCAGAAAAAATAATATTCAAAGTACCTTTCCAAATGTTTGGATCACTTTATTTGCATAAAAGAAAACCTGAGAATCTTAAACAAATATGAATATAAATCCTGTTTATTTTTCCACAGAAGCTGAATTCACTTAATTAATTTTTAAATGGGAGGCGGTGAAGGCCCAGGAAAATAAGGAGCTGTGGGTTCAACTTAAAGCATGCCCTGAAAGGCCCATCAGTCCCTCCTCTCAGTGCTGTGAACCAGAACATGGGCTCTCAAGCTCCCCTGATTGCCCCACATATATAACTTTCAGCTACTCATCTACCCTATAAGTGAATACAAAGACGGTACATGTGAGTCACAATACCTGACTTGCTCTTTGGCTCTCTTTAAGGACAAGATTTCTTCTTTCAGCTATTGTTGCTTCAAAATCTTGTAGCACAGGGGCCAATGCAGGGTTGGCACCACCTGCCCACTTGAGTCGCTGTTCAATACTTGCTTCAAGTGCTGCAAGCTTCTCCTATAAAAAGTCAGCAGAACTTTAATGTATATGATATTCTCTACTTCCTATCTGTGCAATATTTTATATAACACAATAAAGATTCAAAAGAACCAGGGCAGACATATGTAATTCAGAAAACAAAAGCTTTTAACAATCACCTTTTCGAATTAACCTTGATTTCACTTCGAACATTGAAGGCCAAACATATCTGGAGAGGTAAGAACTAGCTTTCAGATTATTATCTTAAAATGTAAAGAAGGAAGTTTCGCTTTCATTTTAAAATAAAATGATCTTTAAAAAACTAAAACTTTGCTATGCCAAATTCTTACTGAGCTCTACATGCTATCTGTAAGAAAATCCATTTATACATTTTTTCTTTCGAGATGGAGTCTTGCTCTGTCATGCTGTAGTGCAGTGGCACGATCCTGGCTCCCTATAACCTCCACCTCCCAAGTTCAAGTGATTCTCCTGCATCAGCTTCCTCAGTAGTTGAATTACAGGCACCGGCCACCACGCTTGGCTAATTTTTGTATTTTTAGTAGAGACCATGTTTCACCATGTTGGCCAGGCTGGTCTTGAACACCTGACCTCAGGTGATCTGCCCACTTCAGCCTCCCAAAGTGCTGGAATTATAGCCACCACAAGCACCCCTCCATTTATCGTTTAGCTTGAGACAGATAAAAATTAGATTTCTACCAATGCGTAAGTTTGTTTACTAACTTGTTGAAACAAACAAAAAAAAATTATTGAGGCAAGGTCTGGCTCTATTGCCAGGCTGGTGTGCAGTGGCATGATCTTGGCTCACTGCAACCACCACCTCCTGGGCTCAAGCTATCCTCACACTTCAGCCCCGAGCAGCTGGGACGAGAGGTGCACGCCACCTCTAATTTTTTGTATTTTTTCTGGAGACAAGGTTTTACTAAGTTGCCCAGGCTGGCCTGAAGCGATCCACCAGCCTCGGCCTCCCCAAATGTTGGGATTACAGGTGTGAACCACACCATGCCTGGCCAAGTTTATGAATAATGGTAAAAATCCATCCAGATTATCATGACAAGGAAAGTTTCATGTAACAAAGTTATCTGATTATTTATTCAACATTTCAGGTGGAGGCATTTACATTTTCTTTCCCCACTGCCCTCTACTTTCCTTCATGGCCATGTCTCTCAAATCATACATAAAGAGGAAGAGTCCATTCTTTTAATTTGAAAACATATCTATTCTCTGACCAATACACTGTAGAGAAAGCTTATTTTAATCTTCAAAGAACAGAGCTCCAAAAAACCTTCATTGCAAAACTTTAAAATATCACAGAAATGATGAGACTTAATTTTAAACAGCTATTAATTTACAAAAAGAGAAAAATGTCAGTTACTACTGAGTACATGAAGTATAAAGGACAGGCAATATAAAGATATACATAACCTTCATCAAGGCCAGTTTCTCTTATATATAAAAAGAAGTAGAAGCATTATATATTTAGCTTTCGATGTCTAGTCAAAAATAATAGTTCAGAAAAATATTCTGCTGCCTTAGGCATCAAAACGTTCCATTATCTGTACAACATAAGAAATGCCCATGCTTCTTAGGTACAATAATAAACAAAATAGAACTACTTCTATGCATTTCACAAAACAAATTAAGTATTCAAAAGTTTTTCTAATCACCAAGGTTTCCTTAACGTATTAAGGCACAGTAATTATCAAATTTATTAAAAACCTGAGATATTTAGTATGTTTCTACTCCTGGTTCAAAATATACCTGCTACAAGATTCAGTTACCTTGGAGGGTGAGAAATAAAAAAGAGGCCGGGCGTGGTGGCTCATGCCTGTAATCCCAACACTTTGGGAGGCCAAGGTAGGTGGATCATTTGAGGTCAGGTGTTCCAGATCAGCCTGGCCAACATGGTAAAACCTTGTCTCTACTAAAAATGCAAAACTTAGCTGGGCATGGTGGTGTATGCCAGGAGTTTCAGCAACTGGAGAGGCTGAGGCAGGAGAATCGCTTGAACCCAGGAGATGGAGGTTACAGTGAAGCAAGACAGTGCCACTGCACTCCAGCCTGGGCAACAAAGCGAGACTCTGTCTCAAAAAAGAAGATATGTATATACACATTAATACACATTAAGAAACACACACACACACACACACACACACACACACACACACACAAATTAAAACTCAAAGTCAAAAGGAGTATGCTCTTCTGGCTCAGAAGCCAAGGACACACACATAGACACACTGAACAAGAGAACACTAATAATCATAGTGTTGGTTATTTTTAAAAGAAAGATGCCCCAGAAGGAAGATCTAACAAAACACACCTGAACTGTTGCAATAGAAGTTTCAATTTGGCTCAGGGTATGCAGTTTCTTTTTCATGCTGGTTAGGATAGCAGACCGTGGAGGAGGTGTGACTGACATGGCTTGTGGTCTATTGATAAGTAGATCTTCGTGTTGCCACTGTTCAAAGAAAAAGAAATGTAATAAAATCAGCAGGAAAAAGCCTTTAGATAAATAAGGGAAGGGAGGTACAACCTAGATTGTGGGGAAGAGAAAAAATCCCAGCTGCAGGCAATGGGAGGTGACCAGAGGAAAGTAACAGAAAGACACATTCTGAAAAAAATCACATCCATGTGAAAAGTCTTCTTGAGGTGGAGCATAGTTGATAAATTCCTTGGACCACTAACATGCAACATTTAAATAGGAATTCTGAAGACATTCAGTAGAGAATCTAAAAGTCTAATACACAATCTCCTATAAAGACAATCTTTAGTTAAGAATACAGAGCAGGCCTAATTTGATAGCTCACACCTGTAATCCCAGCACTTTGAAAGAGGCCAAGGTGGGTGGATTGCTTGAGTCCAGGAGTTCAAGACCAGCCTGGGCAACATGGTAAAACCTCATCTCTACAAAAAATACAAAAATTAGCCAGGCATGGTCGCTACACACATTTATTCCAAGCTACTTGGGAGGCTGAGATGGGAGGAATGGTCAAGGTAGCAGTGAGACATGATCATGCCACTACACTCCAGTCTAAGTGACAGAGTGAGACCCTGTTTAGGTGGAGTGGGGATGTTGTCCAGCACAAAGTCTGAACAGGAGAGTGCGGGAAAAAAAAAAAAAAGATGGCAGCAGTAACAGAAAAAAGGACTGTTTCAACACAGAACCTAAAAGTGACAGAAAGTAGCAGGCAACTAGCAAGAGGCTCAAGTCATCTATTACGTTGCAATGGTGACCCCAGAAGTCCCAAGGGACATTTGGGCTACAATTTAAAAGCTATAAATTGTGATTTGAATTTAAAATGTGTTCAGATTTTTAAAAATTCAAAGGAATTTTACTGTTTTCCATAAGGCTTTTTTTTTTTTTT